GTATTTATTTGTATAAAAAGATTTAAAATTTTTATAATATTATGGTGATGAATGAGAAATAAATAAGATATAAATTATTGATGGATTTTAGGATTCTTTTATTAATAATAAATAACGAATATTTATTAGTCATGATTATATCGGAATTTATTTCTTGAATCATGATTCGTTTTATAGTTGTCTTTTTTTTTTCCTTTCATTATAAAAAGAGTGAAATATAAATACGAATTATTGAATGAATGAATTAAGGAAGTAATAGATCTTTATTCATAATTCTTTTCTTTTCAATTGATTTTTTTTATATGTTATTTAATTCTTTGCGCTGTAATTAAATGAAATGGAATAAAACGGAGCGAACTATAATTGCAAGATCTAGGTTCGGCGGCAAATCTGTGAATTAATAAAATTATATTCTAAAGATACAAGAAATAACTGATCTTATCTCGTAGAATGCTCGTTTAATTGTCTTGATTGTAGATTTCAGCTATAAGAGCTGGAATCGTTATAATTTAATTAAGCAAGAGATAAAATAGAATAAAATATGATTGATCTCTTAATTTAGTTAATTCATAGCCTCGGAGAATCGATTTGAATCTAATTAAGTCAGATATTCTCTTTAATAATTTTCTTTAAGAAGAATAGATGAAAATAATAATTCTTAAAGATACGATCAAAAATAATAATTAATAGAAAGAAATAAGATAAGAATAAGAAGAATCTCTATGATTTAAGATTTATCTATAGGATTCATTCCAATCTTATTTCTAATGTGCCAAGATTAATAGAATGATAAAGAAACAGAGAATTAAAAGAATATTTTAAATTATAGAATTTTGTATATTTTTCTCTTATTAATTTTTAATTATATAAATCTACAAGTCATAATTATCTTCTTAAGATCCTATATTTATTTTGGATCTTTGATATTTATCTTAATTAATTTCTATCATTTGATATATATTTCTCTATTTTATGCGCTTTAATTAACGATTCATAGATTTTGTTATCAGAATAAATTAATATTTTTTATTCGATGCAAGAAATAATTTCTTGGATTTTTTGGTTCTTTTAATTTTATTCTTTTCATCTTTTTTTTTATTTTTCAATTCTATCTTAATATTTTAATTATTCTATATTTGGCTTCTTATTAATCGAATTATATCTATAATCTATTAATGATTCTCCAAGACCTAGATATAAAATCCAAGCGCGCGTTCAAATATACAGACATATTCAGAATTATACAGAGAGATATATACACGTATACAGATATATAGAGAGAGATAATTCAAGAGACTCAAGCTCAGGTCTCTATACGTCTATTTAGGGCTTTAGGGGTTCTGGAGTTCAGGTCTACGATGCCCAGGCAGCGAAGCCCGTCCGTCGAGGCGACGATTAGGACGGACGCCAATAGTCTGGGCTTTAATAGGAAAGGGCTACTACAAGGCGTTTAGGATTTCTCGGGGAGAGCTGCTTTTTGCATTATTATAAGGGTCTTTAAATAATTGTTTTCATAAAGGCCACACATTCTAATCTTAAGCCGGGCTAGACGGTGTAGTGTTTTTAGTTAGTGTCTAAAGTCTAAGATCGGATATATTTAGTTATAATTTCGTCTCTAATAACGACCTAACCGAACTCCTAATCTCGATATATAAACTCATAATATCATCGTCTAAACTACATGACGAGACGGACATATTCTTTGACCCACATCAAAATTACATCTACCATGAACTCACTCACTCCTTCATTCCTCCCTCGCGAGACTAGAATTTCAGAAATTTCATTATCGACAACATGCCTCTCAAAATTTTGAGAATTATTTTATCTAACTAAAATGTCCGATTTTTTCATAATATATTTACGAAGAATCTAGTGTTAACGAAAAGAATTTATATTAAAGATATATTCTCGAAATAAGCGATTCCACCGAAATATCGAAGATTACATGAAATCGAGCCATTTCGAATATTTTAAATCTAAATAAATAATATTCATATTTCTATAATGTTCATGAATATATAATATAGGAAATTATACTAAATTAAATCTTATTGTTAAATCTTTAAATAAGACTATTCATAAATTCGTACTTGCTTTATATTTTTGATGATATATAAGATATAAATTTGATATTATTTCATCTATTTCTTATATCCTAGAGTCTGTTATTTTCTATAAGTAAAGCTATATTGGTATTATAATCGCATTTTCCGCAAGACCGACACTGCAGTCAAGCTGGTTATTGTCATGGAAGTGTTTCACTCAAACACCTCAAGTCAAGATCCAATTGGCTCAGAGCATTCCGGACCCGTCCTGGCCACTTTCAGTTCGTTCCTGATGTCTGCGACAAATCAAGGTTGCGAGTGCTTGGGGATTTCAGCTTGAAGATCTGATTTATTACGTTTCAGCTTGGCTTTTGTTTTGCCGGGGCCCCGAAAAAACTAGCTTCAGATTCCAACTGAGGGACTCAACCCTCTCGAACCACCTGCTTTCCCTTTTCATTTTGAGACTTCAATAATGGCCTGGTGCACTACACGTAGCGAAGATGTAAACCTGTAGCAGGGTCGAAACGTTCAGAATCCGAGCACTCAGCAAAACCAAGATTCAAATGGGCTGGTTTCTACTCAATCTTCCCCTTGAGTCACCGGACGCCCTATATAGCACCCTAAACCCACCCCAGAAAACTTAATTAAACCCACAGTCCAACCTGGCCAGGCGACCTTTGCTCGATTAGAGACCGAACTGCAGCCTGAGGTCGAAAAGGCACAGTTTGGGATTGCAGGGTTTGTGGGGATTAGAGCTTTAGGGCTCCAAATCTTCGGTCTATAGAGGTCTATGGCATATTATGCGGTTTGAGTTCAAGAGTTGAGGAGCTCGACGGTTCTTCCAGGGCTTTGTAGGGTCTGGGGCAAGAAGAGGGCTTTGGGAGAATGTCTGCAGACCTGGGACATCCCAAGGCTTCGAACTGAATCGAATGCCTACGCCCACCAGCCCAGAATCCAAGTCTTCAAGCTTGATTGTGGCTGTCGCTTCTTGGCTTGGGGCTTGAAGGTGGCTCTGAATCTTTCCTGGATTCAAGACTTTATGTGTGAGGTTCCGGGGATTTAGGGAGCTTTGTTGGGGCTTAAAAAAAATATTTAGGGCCTTCGTGTTGAAAGCCAAGCGGCCACATCGTGAAGCGACAGTTCGCAGCCCTCTTCTGGCTCCTCCGCATTCGAGAGACCCAACATTGTGAATTGTGGCTGTAGAACCAACCCAAGTTCCTTGCCCTGCCTATCAAGTCGTTTTGGTAACCAAGCAGCTCACTGCCAGTTCGAATTCTCTGCTGGCCCGGTTCCATCACTTAAAGGCCAATCACCAGCTCTATACGCGGTTGGACCTTCGCAAAAACACTCCCAGCTTGCAGGGCCTGAGCCGAACGTACCAAATGAATTCTGATCTGACTAGTTAAGAATTTGGGCAGCCCCAATATGCTAACCAACAATTTAACAATGGAGCTGCTACTGCTGCTACTACTCGTGGTCCTGCAACCACCGCCGCCACCACCACCACCACCACCACCACCACCACCGCTTCTCCTGCTGCTACTGCTGCCGCTGCTGCTGATCCAACCCCTACTGCTGCTGCCGCTGCTGCCACTGCCGCCATCACCACATTGAAATTTACTGTGGCTAGTTGTAAAGTAGTTGACAGTACTTACTCCCTCTCGAAACAAGGCATTCCCAGTGGCCTTCACACGATAGCGTTGCCGGAAGGCGTGAAGCCTTCGCTCGAAGCCCTTGCTGTCATCGCCCCAGGCCTCAGGCTGCAAGGACTCTCTAGGACTCGTTGCTTCGTGGTTTCACGGATTGTTGTGGCTTCCGGGTTTGGGGCCTATTGCAGGATTTTAAGGATTCGGGTAACGGTTTAGGATTTTGGGCTTGAGGATTGCAATCTTTCAGTTTTCGATGCTTAGAAGATAAGGGTGCCGAGGTGCACTTCGTTGATAGCAGCATGCTTGCCTGGAAACTTTCGCCAACATGGTATCTGCTGCGGTTTCACTACTGCCGCTACTGCTGCTGCTGCTTCTTCTTCTTCCAGCAACCATTCCTGCTCCTAATGCCACTGCTAGCACTAGTAGGACTACCACTACAACAACGACGACGACGACGACGACGACTACCACTACTACCACCGCGACTACGACTACGACTAGTACTACGACGACTGCTACTGCAGCAACAACAACTACTACTACTACGACGACGACTACTGCTACTACTTGTTACTACTCTGAGCATGAGCATCGATGGATGCCTCTGCTTGCTCCTTGGATCATCAACGCGGTCACATGCGTTTGCTGCGAGAGCTGTAAAGCCATTCGTGCCCTGTCTTGAAGCCGAAGCCTCGACATTAAGCAGAGTGCAGGCATCCCCTCCGTGAATACTCAAGCCAAGCCACATAGCCCCACTGTTGAAGCAAGACCTTGAGATCGTATTTCGAGATGTCTTGCTCCTGCCGGTGGCTGTCCCATGAATGTGTATGCTTCTTGAGGGCTTATCGGTGTGGCTCTCGGCGTCAAGAAACTGTGCCCCGGGACGACCTTCTGTAAATCACATCTGAAGTCATTCAAGAACCGTCGTATCCTTATCATTGATTGCTCACGGCTGCACGTGCACGAGAAGTAGCACCAACCAGCCACAACCCATCTTAAACGTACCGGTAAGAAGATCTCGGCTCCTGTGTTCTGGGCTTGGCAGCGAGTGCACAGCCCGCCTCCTCAAGCCGCGCCCACCTCATGCATCTTTTCAATTCCTTTCTGGGCTTTAGCATTTTTGCCTAGGGTACGGTTGCGATTTGAAAGACTTATCACCTGTTTTGCCTGCATCCGAGCCGATGATCCCAGACCCTGCAGCGCAGACACACCTTGCTTACTATTGGCCGCTAGACAGGAGGTCCGGAGCCCACGAAAACAACACACCGTAAAATCTTGCAAGACCTCGCAGTCACCTCTTCTTGCCATTCAGACACCTCCAAAAAAAGGCTATGCCTTCAAGTTGCACAGCAAACACCTTGCATGACCAAGCTGCTCGAACTGCGGGCCAGGCTGTGGGGCTCTCGGAGGAGGTTGCATGATTTCTCCAGCTCCGACGATATTCCAAAGCTTCACCTTGCGAGGCGCGGGGTAAGGGAAGGAAGGCTTCGAAACCCATGAGCTGGGTCGTGCCTGGTAGTCTGCGATGAGGCGCTTCAATAACGAGATGAGGGCGGTGTACTGCTTCTCACGATAGGGCTCCTTGCCGCTGCCCTCCAAGGAAATAGACACCGCATAGGACTTAACTTCATTGATATGGCCGGTACCTGAGATGTGTCCAACTCCCTGAACTTCTTCCACATGCCAGCAAGCAATGTTGTAGTCCCATGCACAGAGCTCTTCCTTGACCAACACTATCCGATTCCCCTCGACGGTGATGAAATAGTTCGGGCCCATACCCCGGACGGCGAAGTCTTCCTTCACCTCTGCGGCTGATCTGCCCTCGGAACTTCCCAAGATGATGCCTTGTTGGCAGACTTGTGATGCAGAAGTGGAAAGCTTAAGGCTTAAGTCGTGCAGGCTTTCAAGCAGGGTGCAGACACAACAACCTGAGCACTTAGTTCAAACCGGGGCAAGTCGCAAGCGATGTCTACTGTTTGGGCCGTCATCCGGTTGACTCGACGGCGGTGTGCCTTGCGGATGTCAGTAACGTAGTAAAACTGCTCAGGGTCCAGAGGGTCCAGAGGGCTGACCTGTGGACTGTGCTTCTCGTGGAAGATGCTATATCCTTTGGAACATATCATACTGCCTGGTAGTGGTGACCGCGATGAGATGCTACTAGCGGAGGAGCTGCGAATGGTCCGGAACGAGCCAGCTACCGGCCGGCTGCAGGAATACAAAGGATCTTCTCGCTCATCTTCCTCCTTGATTGCTTGTACGATCTGCTCAACCCAATCTGGAATCACGGGAATCTGAGTGCTTGCCAGCTGATCTATGTGGCGCACAATTGTCCGCGCAAACGCAGACAAGTCTTCCTCATCATCGTGAATCTCATTGATTTCATTCCCCACAGTTGTGCGAAATAACAAGCAATATCGGTTGAGAATTCCACGCTCGTTGTCAAACCTGTCCCTGATAGTCTCTTGATTAGGATTGTTGCGGCAGGAATCGATGCAAAACACAATATTGCGGCCCTGGATCTGCTTGTCGATCTTCTCCATGATGTCTCCAAGCGCGATGTAATCCCGGTCTGGCCGAGTGGCATCGCGAGGAATGAAGCGGAAGCCCTGTATCTCACAACCGTCACCTGTGTAGTAGAAGAGATGCGTCGATCCCTCCGACCCATGATTGACCATGTCGAGAATGAAATCGTCAACAGCATCTAAAAACTGGTCGCGTGTTGGATTTTCCAGCACGGGCAAACATCGCGAGTCTGCACGAACGGCCGCTTCAAAGATCATCTGAGCCTGCATGAGTCCCTTCCACCCCAAGGTCAACAGCACTTAAAGGTACGAAATACATGTTGGACATGGGGATGGGGGTGGATCACGGAGGAATAGCAACAGTAGCGTTAGAAGACGAAGCAGAAAATAGAACTTCTAGAAGTAGTAGTATTGGTGGTAGGCGTCACCGCCGTAGTAGCAGTAGTCGTGGTCATGGTCCCGGTCGCAGTCGTGATAGTAGTGGTAAAAGTGGTAGTCGTCCAAGTCGTCGAAGTAGCCGTCGCCATCGCCATCGCCGTGGCAGTAGTCGGCACCGCCGCCGTCGTAGTAGGTCCTTGTCGTCGTCGTCGTGGTCGTCGTCGTCGTCGTGGTCGTGGTCGTGGTCGTGGTCGTGGTCGTCGTCGTCGTCGGCGGCGG